CTGGAACGCCAAATATGGACAATATGCGGTTCATACTTCTAAATTACGTCAAATGCTGGTACGGTCATCCCGGCTCAGAAGAAACGCCGAAAACTGCAATCCGAGTACTCGGCTTCCCGAACATGCCGGTGTCAGGCCGAGCGAATGCTGACTATTTAAGGTTTTTACTGAGTAGGCAATTTTCAACTTTAATTTCGAAAACTAGTCATAGGATTAGGTTGAGCCTATTTACACTTTTGGTTACTAGGTTGAGTACAGTAATATACCAAAGTTTCAGAAAATTTGACCAGTTGCCACTTTACATAAGAAAATACGTGAAATGTGTAAGTTTTAAACCTACATATAAAATGATAAATCTTTAAAAATATAGACAAAAACAATTCGAAAATCAAAATCAGAAAGGATCACATGATTACAAGAAAAAGAAATTATGTATGAAACTTTAGCTGGACAAGAATAGGTTGTTATTTTTGTTTATGTTGTTTTATGTTTATTCAATAAAATTATTGTCTAATTAACCTAACCCTAACCCCATAAACTCTTAAATTAACCAGCCTCCGTTAACGTCACACTAGTAAGGTCAGTTTCGTATGCTAAAATTATGAGAATAAAAGAAAGATAATTTCTACAACATTGTACAATTTGATTTTGGTCGTCTGGCAACAATGGTGAAGAAGCAGTCGACTCACCGTCGAGTAGAAGAGTGTAGGAACGTTCTCATGAGTTTATGGGGTTAGGGTAATTAGATAATAATTTTATTGAATAAACATAAAAGAAAAAATAACCTATTCATGTTCAGCTAGTTTCAAAAATAATCCTTTCTGACTTTGATCTTCCAATTTTTTTTTTCTATACATTTTTAAAGATTTATCATTTCATATGTAGGTTTAAAACTTACACATTTCACGTATTTTCCTATGTAAAGTGGCAACCGGTCAAATTTTCTGAAACTTTTTACTGTACTCAACCTAGTAAGCAAAAATGTAAATAGGCTCAACTTAATCCCATGACTAGTTTTCGATATACAGTTGAAAATTGCCTAGTTTTTCGAAATTTTTATTTTCAAACTTACGAGATAGATTGAATTTCTGTTGTATACACACACATTTACTACATGTTTTAGTAATACATTAGTGCATAAGTATAATTAAAAAAATTTTTTAGTTATAGGGTGATTCACAAATGTATGACGGTAGTTTTTCCAAAATCTCACTAATTTTACTGTAACGTCAAGGATAAAAGAATATTTTTAAAAAAATACTACACAATATGGTATTTTGGCAACAAAATATTATACAATACATTTCCTATACAGGGTGTTCTAATAGAAACAGTTAGATTACTCTGTATGTTTTAAAATCTTATGGTTACATACCTACCTAATGTTATTATTATATTAACTTACTCAAAAGTCACTAAAGAAATGCAAGGTCGTCTTTTTAATAATTTCAAACCATAATTATTTTTTGGTGGTTGGGACGGCTCATCCTGTATAAAAAGAAATTATTGAAATAATTTCTCTGTGGCGCAGCTCTGCCCTCCTAAGCCAAAAAGCGGTATCTCACTTCAAGTGAGTTTCGAGAAAATACACATTTTCTAAAAGTTGTTCTCGCGTTCCCTCGAGCCGAAAAAAATAATTTAGGTACCGCTGGATTACTTTGAATTATTTTTTGTTTATTAATATTATTTTTGAAATTCTTATATCGTATATGGATATGTAGCCATTTAGCTTAGTATTAATGGCATACCATTAAGCCTTTTAGTACATATAAGTGAAGTTGAGATAATGTGAAATTGTTATAAGTTTTTTTTATGTTCCGATTGATATTTTGCTATTTTTATTAGTTCATCTGAGGCGGAATTTTTCAAGCTATCTGATGGGTTAAAAAATAGAAAAGTCGCTTTTTTTTAGATGCCGCAGCTGTAGTTATTCAGTGTTTGCAAAAATATATTATTATTGTGATTTATTCATGAAGCACCCCGTAACAATTATTTTAAACCATTATGTCCAAAATATTGGGGTTCACAATGACAGAATATAGATATGTATTAGTACAGATGTAGGTTAAAACTTTCAGAGTCTTCGGTATTATATACCTTTCTATACCTATACCTTTCTAAAACAGAGTTTTTTACCTACATTTGTACTGATATCTATATTCTGTCATTGTGAACCACCAATATTTTGGTCACGAGCCGCAACTGTTTTAAACTGTCCCTTGTATTGGACATCTATCCAAAAATTCAATTTATATATTCTATTTAAAGACAATCTATAGCTTTTCAGTTTAAAGAATAAATAAACAAAATTCTCCACTATAACGCCATGTATCTCGAAAACTGGTGATAGTATCGGATTTAAAATACACAACTCTTAAAACGAGGTTAAAATTATTACATACCGAGAAAATGGTTACATTTGACTTGGGAAATTTTAGAATACAAGGTGTTCGTGATATTTTTGTACTTTTATTAAAATAAAATATCTTCCAACTAGTGGTACACATATTTTAGTGGCATTACCTTTCCCAAAAATCAATTAATAAGTACAGGGTTTTGAATTATAAATAATTTTGTGGTTCCCATTACAAAACACCCTGTAAAAGAATTGTGTACTGTGAAATATACCAAAATCCCATATTGACTAGTACTTTTTGAAAATATGCTTCTCGGAAGTCACAGTAGAATTAGTGAGATTTTGCAAAAAACTATCATCACACATTTGTGAATCACCCTGTAATTAAAAATATTTTCAATTATACGTATGTAATAATAAATTACTAAAACATATATTAAACATGTGTATGCAATAGAAATTCGGTCTAGCTCGTAAGTTGGAGCAAAAAAATCCGAAAAACTGGGCAATTTTTAACTTTAACCTACAAATATATGATAATTTTCGTACGTCTGGCAACGGTGCTTTCATCATTCATACGATTCCGGCCAAATAGTGAGAGAGTACTCGCCTACTCGTATAGTTACAAGAATACGGCCCCAGGTAGCCGAGGTACGGATCAATTAAAAAGTCAACAATACCGGCCCATATGTTAATAGCAAATTGATGTTGGTGAGCTCTCATCCATGCGGCGTAGAGATTATTGTGATCGTCCCATATGTGGCTGTTGAAGCAGCCGTTCTTCGTGAAACAAGCCTCATCAGTAACTAGAATGTTCGAACCAGAATCTGGTTGGTTTGCAAATACGCTGCAAAAACCATTGGCAAAAATGTGCACGCGGCTGGTAATGTACTGAACCCAGTGCCTGCATTTTTTGAAGGTCGTAAGGTGCAACAGCTGCTGGTGAAGTACCCGCCACACTGTTTGGTGGGCAGTATTAATCTGATTCGATATTCGTTCTAAAACCTCTTCCTCAACGGCAAGTTCATACATTTCGTGGATGTCCGGTTCCTCCTGATGGTTTAAAATTGCCTTTTTCTCGTAAGCGACGACAGACTGCCGCAAATGTGTTTCAAGAAGGATATCGGCGATTAGGGAATCGCTCAGCATAGAGCCGTTCAGCTTTCTCTAGTATTGCATCTCGCCTCGCCATAAATAAGATGCATATTATCTGCATCCTCTTCATACGTAAAATCAACCATTTTCATAGTTGAAATGCAAACCTTTCTCGCAAAGTAAACGAATGTGAAGCACTTTACCTGCGATTTCGTCTATAATTAAATTGTCAACAACATCGAGTTTAGGATTGCAATGCTGATAAACTTGTATCGAAAAGTGTTTATTGTTTCTTATCTCTTTCGCTTTAATCTATTATCTATCTTTAATTTAAACTGTTACCTAATAAAATTAAAGCAAAACAATTGGTCTTTTAAGCAAAAAGACTCTGGGGCCAAAACGGCTCATTTTTGACGGGGGGACTCTATGCAAAAATTGTTGATCACAATAGGCATTTTCGGAAACCTATTACAGATAACAAATCCAGATTACTGGGTTTACCCGATGGATAGAGTGGATCTCTGAACTTAGTGCTGACAGTTTATGAACGAGTTGGATTATTGTTCCTGTGTATCTACGTCTGTCAATCTTTGACTTTTCCCTATTATTTGTTGAAGAACCATTTTAATTAAACATATTTGTAGTCTGACTAATAAAATCGCAATATTGGCATACAAATTACAAGTTATAACTAATTGAATGTAGAAAAAACTTCAAAGCTACTACTGCCAGACACCAAAAACCAAAAAAAAAATGCGTTATCACTTTATAAAATCCTGTGATGCGCTTGCGGATCTATTACTAATCTACTCGTAGAGTGGGTTACAAAATATTGATCTCGATCATAAAGCTGGATCAGTAATCTACTAGTTTCCGAACACGGATAGGGTTAGTAACCATAGGTAAACGAAAACTAGGATCCATAATCTTTCTGATCCGCCTAATGTTTCCCATAACCTCCTTAAGTTTGGCACAACCTTTTTGGAACACCCTGTATAAAAGAAGGCAATTAACTCAAATTAACAAAAACTATGTTATTTTTGGGTCAAATTCAGACCAATCTGACATGTTTGTTTTATTGTCAATAAATCGATCAGTATTTGATCGTTATTTATAACTTGGGTAATCTTGTAGTTTAGGCGAGTATCAAAGTGTATAATATCCTAATCATAGCATTGCTGCTCCTGTATTATTTTTTGAAATCTATAAAATAAGTAAATTTAAGTTATCAGAGATGCTGTCAAATATAAATTTTGAAGACAAGGAAAATGATTAAAAATAGTCTTTAATTTTAGATTATTTTAACGTTAACGGGGTAGATGTACATGTAAAATTCAAACTCTAAATGTCAGTGGAGGGTGGTGAGGACATGTGCAATATCACCCACCTAAACTACAAGATTACCATTCTGAAAGAGTCTTACATAATACGGAACAGGTTCATATAATCGGGGACACCTGACCACTTCATTTTCGTTAATATTATTTCACAAATCAAAAATATAAAAATGGATAAAAATTAAATAAGAAAAGACATTTTATACATGTATAATATATTAAGCTAAATATCACAATTTTGTAACATATAAATATAAAACTTACAATGCATATAATTTTTATACATAATTTAATTAAGGTATGAAACGATACAATTTATAAAATTAATACAAGGTAACTCAAAATTATCTACAAAAAACCTAAAGCTAGTAATTATTTTTTGTCCTGGCATGAATAATGAACTACATCTCCATTTGGATATCTCACCAGAGCACTAAAACAAAAAATAGAAATATACACTAAATTCCCTCAATTCAGCAAAATAAAATTGACACTGACATATATTATTATTTGCATATTGTTTCTTTTATGCTCGCTTTACATTTGACAATTGTTATGAATCAATTCATGAAGTCACTTTATAAAGAAATTGATAGATGAAAAGTCAAACTATACATGAATAATTTCATTAATTTCTTCACGATAAATATGTGAAGCAATGCCTAAAATACATTAGATTCTGACAGTCTTAAAACCATCTAAAACCAATGAGCGTCACAAGTTATAGCGAATTTAAATAAACGTTTGCAAAGCAGTAAAAATGAATCTCCCGCCAAGTCGGAGAAAAAATATTAATGTCCACCGACGATGGGTGGCGATCACATGTTTAGTACAGAAAAGACCTGAAAATTAAAACGACATTCCCAATTAGGTGCCAAGTTAACCAGAACTCCCATCTTAGTGGAATGAACGTATTTGGAATTTCATAGACTGCGAAAATCACAATATACACTCAGATGCAAAAAATTCGATCCATTATATATTTCCCACCTAAAACTTAGAACTCGTTATATGGCATATATCAATTTAGACAAAACCCTCTTACATTTGATACCAAATCTAAAACTCACATCTTCAAAAATTGTCTTCTTTGCTAAAAAATAGAAATGAATCGAATTTTAATCTCCATTTAACACAGCGGTAGAATCGGCCCTTACCGGAATAAGGTCAAAAATAAATAAAATGTTCACATAGAAGTTGGCAATTTAAAAACTTACAATGGATATATCTGGCTATATCATGAACAAAAGGTGAAATTATAAAATTAAAACTTAATAATATTTTATACTTATTGACAAGAGAAATATTTAAAGACATAAGGAGGCACTGATTTAATATGTATTCCTTTCAGGACGGTTTTTTCTTATATGTGACAAAATTAAAGTAGTAGGATGACTGACACACACACACCACACATACACACGCACGCACGAACGCGCGCACACTCACACACACACACACACATTATATGCGATACTAGTCGCGTCAGAAAGCACTTTAGATCTTGACTTGCCAGTAGGTCGGGTGTCATACCGTATACAGTGTCAGCCACTAAACGTTTTGCACAAGCACACGTGAAAACAACAAAGAGTTAGCATTAGAGGAGGACACGAATAATATCAGCGTTGCCAGTTTATACGGCCCGACCGCGGTGTAAGTCTACTGTCACATAAATAACGTCATTACTAATACAACATAATATACTTTTTATACACGTTTTATTATTATTACCTTTGATTCCCAAATCTCTTTTTGCACACAGGACAAACATTCAATTCGGTAACCAGCACGTGCTGACTTTGCAAAGTCAATTTTTGCTCTTGGAACTGCAAATGCTCGGCATAAAGGAGTCCTTTCATGAGTTGCATACTCCTACGTTCTTGTATAACTTTTTGCAGGGCCACCAACAGAAATTTGTGGATTCTGGATACAGGAACACTGTCTGGTAGTATGGATAAAGCTTCCAACGGATTCATATGAATGGCATGCTCTTCTAGAAGCCTTAGGGCTAATTCTAAGTCGGGCTGAGCGGTTTTCGGTGATAGATTTAAACCTGGGAGGGATAAGGGGCAGCTATCCGGGTTTAGAATTAATTTGATGAGGGAAACATAGACCTGAAAATATAAGAATATAAGGTTTTTCATAAATAATGATACATTTTAATCATCGATATAGTATTTACATAATAATGAGCAGACATATTGAGTCAAATGTTGAAAAAAAAAAAAACATATTTTTTTGTGTTTCAGTTTCTGGCCATTCTCGTCCTTAATGGTTTAATAAAATAGATTCATGTGATTATAGTTCATGAATCGTTAGGTGACTATAAAAACAAGATTAAAACCACATTTGTTATAATCCGATTTCTCCTTAACGATTTTGCTAAATGCCAATTATTGCCATTAAATTAAACTACAAAGACGATTATAACAATCTCGTAGATTCAGGCATACTGATTATGTGAATCTAATTAAAACATGGACCTCAGGTCACCATAGACGTTATGCATAGATTCATACACGGCTATCACAAACTGAATAACAAACCACTGTCGAACTTGGATTACCTACAAACAATAAAAATAAACAAAAGTCAAGCTCAGTCCGCTGATAGAGACTGAGTGGTTTCAGTATAGGCAAAAAAATGATAGATTACACGTATGACCAAGCTCAAAGGCATCCTATCAAAAACAATACAAGTCAAAAACTCGGTACGTTCTGTTCAAAGAACCTAACTAAACTGGCTACAAATGTCACCACAGTGGAATCCGATAATTTGTCACTGACAGTACTTGGCTGGAAATTCAAGATCTACCCCAAGTGGAGCAGAACTTATATTTCGAGTAATAAAAAACATAAACACTTTCACTACTCAAGATATGTACCACATATAATACCAAAATACTATTCTAGTCACAGAAACTACTGTTAAAATATTCACCATAATAGAAATTTTACCGAAAGTTAAGATCTACTTCCAAGAAACTTCCTAGAATAAGAACTTTTATTTAATGCGGCACAAAAACATTGACAAAAATACAAGGTATGTACCACAATATCCAAATATCATAGAAGACACAGAAATATCGCCAAAATATACTTATATCAAATATCAAAACCAATAATTACCAAAATCGTTAGGGCCAAATCAGCTTGTAACAAATTTTATATACCCCCTTGGAATTTTGTGTTATATTTTTTTTAATCTGTTTTTCGCGAACTGTGAGCCGTAGTAGGAAATGTTTCATACAGAAGTTGCAGTTAACAATAATTTATCTCATTGGGCCACTACGATATGATAATAAATGCAAAGTTCCCAAAAACTCGTTATTTCGTAAATGCAAATGTAGAAGTTGTTCAAATAACTATTCCATTTACAAAAAATGCCAGTAACAAAAAATTTGTTTTGACCTTTTATGGTCACCAAACGATACAATAGTCGTTTTCTTTTTACAAGCATACTTGACTAACTAAAAGTTAGATTCTGATCTAAGCTTAACTGTAAAAAGAACGCGAATTTTGGTTGACAGGTGACGTGCCCCATGTCATCCGTTTAAAAACAATCCATATTTTAATCAAATTTTATAAGTTTTTCAACATTCAACACTACAAATCTCACCCCCTGTTATCATAGTCTTTTATTCTCTCTAAAATAATGAATTCATGGGATATCTTTGTTCATATGATGCACAGAGCACTCACTTTCTGTGATGGTTTATGGTTGACGTCAAGTACCGTGCACCTTAGCATCGGTAAGGGGGGAAGAAAGATTCTGACTTACAATCATAAAAAGAACGTACATCTCAGCTTAGTCGATGTAAGTTAGCTCAGATTAGTTGTAAAAAGAAAACGACTATTAATTACAATTGCGAGAAATGTTTTTTCTGAAAACACCCCTTTTTTCCCTATTTTTCGTGTTTGGTTTTAAGGAATGCATGATTTGACTGCTTTTCACTGGGTCATTTTGGAATGTAGTGACCAACCCTAAGCATCGGCAGCTTATTACCCTAAGATTTAATTCCCTGGTGTTCATTTATTGACAACCTGAGTCAACCTGCTTGAGAAACATTGGGTTGTTATAGTAGTAAACTTACCTGACTTGAGTCCATCTTCTATCTATCTTGAAATGTTTTACAACTCATTATTAAATAAAAAATTAATATATTGCAGTTAAATTTTATCATTATTCATTTCAAGGAAAAACTTGTGTAAAAAATAACAGTCCAATGGCAATAAAAATTATAAAAAGTTACTTACACTTTGACAACCCGTAATGTTTTTTTCATAAATCTTATCACAATAACGTTCAGCCTTTTTGATGTCACCCAAAGCCCTAACATAAATGGTAAGGGCCTGTTCGTGCTTCCCCAGTCTTCCCAATATAATGGCCCTTTCCTCCAACAGAATATCAGTGGGGAAACTGCTTAATATATTTTCGGAAGTGTACTGCTTGCTGTTCTCCAAAAACTGCAATAACTTCTTTCTGGTATGTTCGGACGCGGCAGGGCCTTCGTTGACAACTTTTTCTCGATACTGATGCACCAGAGCATTATGGAAAAGCGGGTTTGTATCTTCCCAGATGTGGACGACGTGCTCCAAGTATGGAATTACCACGGATTTGTGGGATTTGAGAAGAAAATCTAGAATCCTGGGTCTGGGTAGGGATTCTACCTCGACTATATCTTCCGTGAATATCTTTAAAATATAATCATCGACATTAGAAGAAATTGGCTCGTTTTCTATACCCAGTGATCAATTATTATTAATAGTTTAGAGTGTTATTGAAATACAAGTACCGGGTGTCCAAATAAAAAAGACTGCCTGCAGTCATGCTTTTACAAAAGTAGTCCCTAGAAATCACTTGTAATTATTATGAAATTTCTAGGTTCGCCGCTAGGGGAATTGGTGCTCATGGTCAATGATAAAAACTCGTATTTTTAATACCAAACTAAGTTATGTCGAGGAAAACGTATTCTGTGAAATCGTTGTCTGTATAAAGTCTCCTTATCTGACTGCAAAAAGTGACGCATCGTGTTTTGTGCGTGCTATTTGTAGTTGGGTACAGGGAAGAGGGAGTGAACAAGATATACTATGTCCTGGTGGTGGGAGCTGTCGTGTAACCTGTCAAATTCAAAGTAAACTTGCTTCTCGACGTCTATAACAATAACAAAAATCCCTTTGCAAACATTTTTTGTCGCCCGGTTTTCCTACTTTCGGTGTAAGTGTAGGGATTTCCCTACATCGAAAGTAGACGCTATTTTGTGACAAGAGCCCTACAAATAAATTATTCATAAAAATACCAGAAAATAAATATATTAGAGCATTTTTATAGTTAGATTTAAATTAATAGTATTAAGGGAAATGCTTTGGGACAAAAAACACTAAAAGATTTGATTGATTTTTAAATAACGATTTTTGTATGCAATTTTTAAAGCAATGATAGTAAGTACTGTTTAATCATATTTTACTTTTCGGAGGTAATTATTTTTGATTTTTAATTTCTGAATAAATTCTAAAATGTAATGAAGAACTTGATTTGGCCCCCACATTCTCCAAATTCTTTGCCAAACAGTAAGGATGGCGCTTTGCACCTCTGGCTGAAAATCCAACATCGGCAAAGAAATGTCGAAGTTATAGTCAAAATTAGGCAATTTTTTGGCTGTCCCACTTCATCTGCGGCGTAGTTTATCTTACTCATACTCACAAGGTTGAAAGACTATACCTTTATACAGACAACGGCGAAATTTTACTCAATTTTGACTATCCACTCGTTAATATGTTTATCGTTGGTTACATTATCTAGAGGCGAAGTTAGAAAATTGAAAATAATTTCCAGCGACTTTCCATGACCTCTTTTATCATGAAAATCAAGTTATAACGTAGTTGATTGGAGAAAATAAGAAACTATTTGAAAAATGTATGAATGAAAACAGAAATGAGGGTTAACCAAAAAATGCATAGTTCTTGGGAAGATTGGAGTGAGGTATTTTCGTTGGGGAAAAATATTAAGTAACTTAAATTTTATTTCATTCGCTGCATTAGTTGCAATTAAATTGAAGCAGAGGCATGTAACCAGAGCAGGTATACAAGAGAATAAGATAGACCAGGAAGTAGGAGGAGAAAGAATTGATTATTTGTTGCATAGAACCATCTAAATATACTAAGCATGATTATCAGCTGTTAGTCCAGTGTTATGATTATCGATTACACCTGTACATACAAAAAAAAAGTTGTCAGTACTTTTGACGGGACCGGTATATCTTTATGTATTTCGACCCGTTGAATTCGAATCTGAGGTCCGTTTGACCAGTACACCGTCAAATTTTCGAGAAAACTGAAAAACTCCGATTTTCGTCATTTTTTTTCGGTTTTTCAAAGTTTTCTCGAAAATTTGATGGTGTACGCGTCAAACGGGCCTCAGATTCGGATTCAGCGGGTCAAAATACATAAAGATATACCGGTCCCGTCAAAAGTACTAACAACTTTTTTTTTGTGTTCCTGTGTTATTAATCAACTAAAAGTATTTTCTTTTTTTACCCTTTGCTCTCCCCTGAGGAGTTCCGGTAGGATCCCCCAATAAGACTTGGGTTCCAGTCTGCCTTCCCTTTTTAGGGGTTCGCATGTCGGAACGGCTGACTGCAGCAGGGCCGCCAGATTCAGTACGTTTGTATTGAATTCAGTACTTTTTCAACTTTTTCAGTACGTCAGTGTTACGTTGTTAGTTTTAGTACGTTTTTGTTAAAAATAAGTCAATTCAGTTATAGTATCCACTATTTTTATTTGTCCGTTTTTCACAAAAAGATTTCAGTATTATATTTTCTCGCTCAAAATCTCTGATGATTCACTCAAACAAACACCGACGTTTATCACGCCTTTATGTTACGTCATTCTTCATTCGCTCAGGCTACGTTCAGGCCAGTCGTTCGTTGAGCTCATATCGTTTAACCAAGTGCCAGTCAACTCCACGTGGACTTCCAGGGTAGTATTTCAGAGTTTTTTCTCGTAGTTTCAGCGTACAAATATTGTTTTTAAAATTTAAATTATGGCATTTTGGAGACCATTTGAAACTGAAGAAATTAATCATTTGGAGGTTCAAGCATTAAATAATGACAATGAGTTGGAGGGTAAGTAAATAAATACATAATAGAAATGTATAGAGCTCGTTTATTTTAATGTTTGGTAAAATTATTTCAGAAATCTTAGAGTAATTTAAGTGTCTTTTTTATAGCTACCGAAACAGTTGCTTCCGAAAGTGACCAAGAAGAGGTAAACCATAATGAAAACTTCGACAAAAGAATTGATGTGAGTGCTCAACAAATAATTTTAAATATGTATTCTCAATTATTAAAAGAGAAAAATGGATCCAATTATAGGATAATTAGCAGAATACGAGAATTAACAAAAGTTTCCAAAATAAGCATTAGAAGAATTATCTCTAGGAAAGTAGTTGTGACACCAAAGAAAAGAGTACAACCATCATTAGTAAAAATGAACAATGTTTTGAAAAAACATGTTAGAAAAAAAATATACCAATTGTATAGCGCCAATATTGTACCATGTTTTAATGATATTTTAAAATAAATAAAGGACATTCCAGGATTCCCCTATAAAAGTTGTAGCGCCATTCGCAAGGTTTTACATTCTTTAGGTTTCCGATACCGAAAACTCAATAAACGGCAAAGAGTTATGGAATCTCAACGGATAATTAACTGGAGATACGATTATCTTAATACAATTTCCAAGCATCGCCAAAATGGAAAAAATATTGTGTATTTGGACGAGACGTGGTATGACACCCATGATGTTGTAAAAAAAGGATGGAGTGACAAAACTATTAAATGTTCGTTAGATGCACCTGTGAGCAGGGGGAAAAGAATAATTATTTTGAACGCTGGAAATACAGATGGTTTCGTAAAGAATTGCTAAAAACATTAAGTCTTGTTCGGCTGATTACCATCAAGACATGGATAGTAAGCTGTTTGAAACATGGTTTGGTGAACAACTGCTCCCAAATTTATTACCCAATAGTGTAATTGTGCTAGACAATGCTCCGTACCACTCTAGGCAGACTTCAGAAATACCTAAAGCCAAAGCTAGAAAGGCAGTAATAGCAACTTTTTTAAAAGAGAGAGGTTTGGATATTCCAGATGATATTCTAAAGAAAGACTTGATTGTTTTGTTAAAAGGGCTTAATTTAAAACCAAAATATGTAGTCGATGAAATGGCCAAAGAGTCTGGGCATGAAGTGATAAGATTACCTCCATATTACTGCGTCTTTAATCCAATAGAAATGGTATGGGCTGATATTAAAAATCAAATAAGGAAAAATAACACAAGGCCTACTATGAGTGAACAACTTCTAATTACAATTAGAGACATTTTTTCTAAATTTATTCCTGAAAAATGGGTTAATTGTATACGCCATGTCATGGAAATTGAAAAATCTTACGAGCTTACCAACGTTCACCCTTTTATTATTGATGTTGAAGACACTTCAAGTGAAGATGGAAGTGATGACGAATAAATTGTTTTGTTATCTTTGTTTCATGTTTTTTTTTTATTGTAAACAATTTTTTATTTTATTTTAAAGAATTATTTTTTATTTTATTAAAAATGTGATATAATTTCTAATATATTTTTTGCGATTAATCCCACTTAAATTTTGAAAAAGGTAGACTGGTTCTAATAAGATCTAAACTTTAGTTATTTAACAGTACATGTACCTATAAACATATTTATTTTAAAAATTTTAATATAATTAACCTAATGATATAAGAATTGAATACCTACATTCGATCGAAAATGTATTCTATATTTTGTTCCTTGATACATAAAAATATAAGAACCTTTTTATATAAAAAAAATATTTTAAAAATACCCAATTTACCTATCAAATGTAATCTAATATTCTGAAATACTATATTAGTCATGAACCAAAATTATTTAAGTACGGTCCCTAGACAGCGGTACAACATAAAGAACGCGGCACCTGCACTTACATCGCTTTGAATTTCCGAAATAGAGAAAAGCGGCCAAATAAAAATAGTCGATACTATACCATTTTCAGTACTATTTGGATATTTTTCGGATAAAGTGGCGTATTTTATCAAAAAAATTGTCCATTCAGTACCATTTTCAGTACTATTTGGATATTTGTCGAATAAAGTGACGTATTTTATCAACGATGGATGACAGTTAAGTCATGTGATGAGTCAAATAATTTATTTGAAATTGAAATTTATTGCACGTTTGTTGGTTGTAATTCTGAAAGTAAAATGGATTAAGACTTTTTTTTTGTTATACATAAAGATTATATAATTTAATAGAAGTGTTAAACCACAAGAAAATTATTTTTATTTCAATTGTGCTCAGAACATTTATTCCTATAGGGTAAAACTTTTGTAAATGTTTCAAGTTTTTCTATAAAAGTTATTTAATAGTTAATGCATTTAAAGCTCCAGCAATTTTTAAGGTGTTGATCGATTTAGGTGTTGGTACATTTTCATAAAATATTTTTTTTTTTTTAAGTTAGCTATTCCGTACGTTTTTTTGAAATGCAGTACGTTTTAAAATGTTTTTCAGTACGATTTGTCATTTTCATTCTGGCAGCCCTGGACTGCAGCTTTACGGGCTTATAGCACCTCTCTTTGGATGTCCTTTTTATTCACATTCATTCAACTTGTGCATTCTACCCATACATTCTGCTGCCTATATGGGCCCTCAGAAAATCTTTCACAGTGGACCAACGACCCGGTTATCAACTATTTCATTGTTACTGATACAATCAAAATAATTTTGCACGTACTAGGAGAGTGTGAAGATTAAAAATGTTTTAATATGTACACGTACTTCAATAATACTCTGTATTACATATGATTTCGTCCCCAATAATGAATAATGAATCATTCAAAGAAAATATTTCGGCCAACAACAAAAATAAATTTTCCATTTCAGCTAACCTTCAGTCCTTCTTCGGGCGACTCGGTAAGCACCCAATCGGAGAACTCCAAAATCAATCCCATATTTTCTGCTCCCAAATGCTGGAGATAGTTGACAGTTCGTTCGATGCTGCCTTCTGATTGCAACAGTTCCAAAGCCCTTCTGTGCTGCCCTTTGGTTTGATACAAGATAATGAGTTCATTGTGTTTGCCCATTTTCTTGAGAACTTTCTCGGTCTCGACCAAGTGGCAATGGTTGAGACGAAGGAGGGGGGCCACCAGAGCATCGTTGGTCTGTAGGTAGCACTTTAGTAGAGTGGTATCGATGATTTGGAGTAGCTGATTGATTGATTTACTGGTGTGTTTGTCACCGAGGTTGCCAGTGGCGTTAATGTTTCCCTAAAATAAATTGAACATTTCTTTAGGTAGCCAAGTAACTTTTCCCCCTAAATAAGATCATTCAAAAGCAGATTATAAATTTCTACCAATCGCAAATTAAAATTAATAACTTAACTAGAATTTCACAAGACAGAAAGCAAAAAAGTATTTATCTATTTTCAAAATGTACCTGTGATGTTTCAGAAGATTTGATACGTCTTATTTCAGTCAAGTAATCAATTAGCGCCAATCTGCTAGTTTCCAATTCTTTTTCGGTCAAATCCCTGACGGGTTCTGGGACATCGACACCCTGCTGCTGTTGGGGTAACAAATCGGGAAACAAGCGGATGACATCGTAAGCATCGGTGCCTAATATTAAAAATTCCTTCATACTTTCATGGAACTGTTTCCTATGGAATAAATCATAGGCTAGGAGCGTTTGAATGTGATGGATTTTTTCTTGCTTCTCGTCTTCCGATTCTTTCGAAATTTGCTTGAATGTATAATAATTTTAAATTAAAGAAATCGTAAAAATCCTTAGTCATAAATTTGATTAAACTTAAAAAGAAAAATATTGGTTACTTATTACATTTATCTAATACATTTCAGGAACGTTTCTTTTCGAAATAATAGGTTGAAAATAATATTATCAAAATACAACACTAAAACATGAGATACAAATTTATAACAAAAAAATAATTAATGAGGTACAAAATTACAACAACAAAAATACTTAATTCCTATATAAGAGGCGAGAGGATGTCCACAGGGAGGGGTGCTATCACCTCTACTGTGGAATATGGTCCTCGACACCCTCATCAGCCGCCTCAATAATGACAGTCACTACACAATAGCATATGCAGATGACCTGGTCATTCTGCAAACAGGGAATTTTTCAGAACATACTCTGCGAAAGAATGCAAGTAGCTCTAAAAATTATAAAACAGTGGTTCAAAGACCATTCACTGTCTATCAATCCTAAGAAGACAGAAATGGTCCTTTTCACAAGGAAAAGGCTGAAAATGAAATTAAAACCTCCATAACTCCTAAACACAAAACTAAACTTTGCAACAGAGGTGACGAGTACCTAGGTCTCACCTTTGACATCAAATTATCATGGAACTCGCATTTAGAAGAGCATACATTGCTTATGAACAATGCCGCCGAACCGTGGAACCGTGGGGCGCACCTGGGGTTTCTCCCCCAGAGTCGTCGCATGGACTTACACGGCTATCACAAGACCTTTGCTAACATACGGTGCAGTTGTCTGAGTACCTAAAACCCAAAAATTAACAGCTATCCGTAAACTAGAATAAATTCAAAGAACAGCATGTCTCAACATAACAGGAGCCATTCAAACAACACCGACCAGAACGATGGAAGTCATTCTTAGTCTCACTCCCCTTGATATTTACATCAAGACGGTTGCTCTAACGACAATGACACGCCGCCGCATTGTTGGAATAGAACCTGATGTAGGATCTGGTGAGGCGAGACATCACCTTTGGCAGGAGGCTCCCACTGCTTCAAGCGAACATGGACTCCATCTCACCGAGATATATCTTCCATAAGCCATATAAAGTTATAATAGAACAAATAGAAGAGCCAGAAGTAGCAGGTACGATTCATATGTACACCGAAGGTTCTGAAACAAGGCTCAGGATGTGGAATATACTGTAGATTCCTAAACCTAAACATGAAATGGGCTGTGAGCAATAGTGCCAGTGTAGTTCAAACAGAGCTAACGGGGATTCTCATAGCAGCAAAAGAAATAATCAGAAACAATATCACTGAAAGGAACATGCTCATCTATACAGATAGCAGACAAGCACTACTCACTATGAACAGACCACGAATTTATTCAGGGTTAGAATTAGAATGTCACAAAGCTTTGGCCGAAGTATCCAACAACAATGTGGTCACCTTAAGATGGATCAAAGGTCACGCCATATCAAAAGGTAACCGTCTTGCTGATTCACTAGCCAAGAAAGCAGCCAACCAAATACTTTTTGGACATGGCCCCTCTATTGGCCTGACAAAATCGGTAGTGACAGACCTAATTGAAGAACATTCCCTTGTGAAATTCAAGGAAAGATGGGATGAAACAAGAAACTGCAGAGTTGCCAGGGAGCTCTTAAGTTATCCTGACAACACTGCAGCAAACGAATACTTCACTATGACTAGACAGAATATGTGCCTGGTCACAGGCATTCTGACTGGTCTTTGTCAAGTACGGAAGCATCTCCATATCATGGGGCTGTCAGAATCCGCGCTCTGCAGAGGGTGCGAACAAGAAGATGAGACCATCGAGCATATCCTTTACGATTGCTCGACGCTCTCATTTATTAGAAGATTTGTGTTCGGCGAGTATCGGCTAATACCAGCCGATATAAGAGAAGCACCTCTTGGCGACGTTGTCTACTACATTAAATCTGTAGGCTGACTCACGAGCTAGGAGGTGTCTATTATTTTAGGAGGATGCACAATGGTCCTAATGAGGCCTAAGTGTCGTGGGGGGTAACCCACCCTCCACACGTTACAGATACAGATACTTAATTACTAATTGAACGTGACGTCAAAATAAAGTTGAAACATGGTGGCATAATATGTAGCTATACCACTTTCTTTGAATACGAAGCAGTCGAAGTGTAAGACACCTGTTTTCTGCTGAACTGTTGTCTGCGGCGTCAACTTCTCAAATGATAATAAATAAGTTTGAATTTGGAATTTAATGTAGCACTTGATTTAATAGTTGTTCATAAAGGTGAAAAAAAGTCCTTTGAATCTCGCAAAGAAATGTATTTTTCAAATTCCGACATGTTTCTAGGTTACATTATAATAGAATTCAATATTTTTTTGTTTATCCCGTCCCAACGACGAAAAACTACTAAACTAATCCATTCATTCGTTCATTCATAATTAAGCCCTTTTTTATTGCAAGAATTTAGATTTTGTTTATTATTAAGTAGACAGAGCTGTCGCATCGGCTGCCATATTAGAAAGGAGGAGGCAGCTGCTAATTTGAGTGGGGATGGTTTGTGCAAGTATGTTTATTAGGGAGCGAGAATGCGTTTTATGATTGAATCAGTATTTACATCTACTACGCTTGCTTTACATTGATGTCACACTTCAAAATTAATTGCGTACTTTCCTGAAAAACACTATACAACTATAATAGTTGCAACGAGAAAAATACATTAGACTGATAATAACTGGCATTAAAAATGCAAATATACTTCTCTAATGTAATTTTGAAAGCCTTTTGTACGCTTTAGAGCCGTATGTTCAGTCAATATCGAATTATAACCATAAACAATCCTTGCACCAATACTCTTCCAAACTCTCTCGTAATAATTTGACAACTACGTGGATGACACCGTGAATGTTTGCAATTCGATTTTTGTAAACAAAATTAGTCTAGTAGTTTTTCATCGTTGTCCCGTCCCACCTCCTGAAAAACAAAAAAATGATCGCACTTTTGTGAATAATAGTTTCACAGTTCACTCATTTTATTCATTGTTGGACTTGTTTTTCCTGACTGCTAGATCATAGAAGAACGTGAAATTACATGTCTCTTTATCCGAGAACGAGATTTGAGTAGTTTTGTCAAGTTGGAGGTTATCTGTATCTGTAACGTGTGGGTTACCCCCCACGGCACTTAGGCCCCATTAGGCCCATTGTGCATCCTCCTAAGATGATAGGCACCTAGTTCGTGAGCCAGCCTACAGATTTTATGTAGTTGACAACGTCGCCAAGAGGTGTTTCTCTTATATCGGCCGGTGTTAGCAGATACTCGCCGAACACAAATCTTCTAATAAATGATAGCGTCGAGCAATTGTAAAGGATGTGCTAAAAAATATAGTGACAATTAGTTTGGTAGGATTGTCACTTATTTAAAATTTTAAAAAATAATAGTAGTCCGATCTTTCTAGAATGAATATTAAATTTTATATTCATTCAGTAGAATGTAATGGCCTACTTTTAGGTTCTGTAGTCTGTGCTTAGAACATATGTATAATATCCGTGTGGGTGTAGAATATTTAGTTGGCGGGCTACTAAACGTTTGGTGGATTTAATAATAATACTCTCCATAATTCACCCCCTTAAAAGTGAATTTTAACCCCAAAAGCTGTACTAGTCCGGGGAAGGGACGGCTATTATTATTATTTGCCGTGACGCTCCGGAGCGACTTAAAGATGATTGATGGTGTCATTTGACTTACACCATCTTCGCAACGATAACGTATGGTGATTTTTATAATCTGGATTATCATATCAACAGAAATTTCTGTTAATACGGAATCAATCAAATCCTATAGAGAACCATGCAAATAAATTCACATGGTCTTCTGTAGGATTCAAAGCCGTCTCTGAACCACGAAATTGCTCGCAAATGAATGCGAGCGCGTTAGACACCTACGTCATCGATCCGATACACACTATACACATTATAAAATAGATATAAGGTTTTATTTAATAAACTGATATGTAGTTACATATTCATTCTGTAGATTCTGTAAAAAATAAGTATGAATACATTTTTTTTCTACATCCACATGCAGAATACGTGTTGTAGGTTCGTCAATGGCCTTCGCAAGTTCGACCATATTTCATTGGCTTTTTCACAAACTGGATGGTTAAATGTTAACAACCTATTCAAATATCTGTTCCTATCGCTAATATATAATATAATTAATACTTCAATACCACCATATTTAAAAGACAAACTAATATTCAGAACATTGATGCACAACGTTAATATTAGAAATAATTTAACTTTAACCATGCCTCGTCATTCTACTGCAATTTTTAATCGCAGCTTTTCATACAATGCCGTTGTTCTGTACAACAACCTAAACACATCTTTAAAAAATTCAAAATCTCTAAATGTTTTTAAAAATACATTAAAACGACAGCTCTTGGTCTCCCAAAGTGTTTAAGTGCAATTGTTTAATTTTTTTTTATCTCGTTTGTTCTTTTTGAATAAACACACTTAGATAATTATTTTTCTTTTCAAATGTTTTACTAGAATTTGCTTATTGTAAAAAATGTATTTATTATTTAAACTATGTATAGAATTTATAGGGTTAGATGTAAGAATAGCCTTAGGCTAAATCTCGCCCAGGCAAATGTACATTTCTACATATTTTTTGTATTTTTGGTATGTACAAATAAAGGCCATTTATTATTATTATTATTATTATTAGCTTATCTACGCAAAGACTACAAAACGAAAAAGTATGCCATTGCGTTCAACTTAACGAATATATTTCATATCCATTTTACCTAGTACAAACACTGCAAAAAAATTAAATCCACCAATCACAGTTCATATTTTGGCCACTCGGCTACTATTATTATTTAAACTTTATATGAGTGACAATTCTGTCAAACTAATTGTCAGTATATTTTTTAGTTATTAAGATTAAATATACGTAAAAATGAGTTATTCTTGTGTAGAATCGATAAATAATAGCATTTCTTTTTATGTGAT